GGTTCACACCTGTAATCCCAACCCTTTGGGAGGCAAAAATGGGAGGATCACATGAGGTCAGGAGCTCAAGACCAGTCTGGGCAACATAGTGAGACCCTGTCTCTATGAAAAATTTTAAAAGGTAGCTAGGCATAGTGGTGCATATCTACAGTTCCATATACTTAGGAGACTGAGGTGGGAGGATCACCTGAGCCTAGGAGATTGAGGCTGCAGTGAGCTATGATTGTAACACTGCACTCCAGTCTAGGTGACAGTGCAAGATTGTCTCAAAAATAATAATAATTAAAAATAAAAAACGGCCAGGAGCGGTGGCTCATGCCTGTAATCCCAGCACTTTGGGAGGCCGAGGCAGGCGGATCACAAGGTCAAGAGATCAAGACCATCCTGGCCAACATGGTGAAAACCCATCTCTATTTAAAAAATACAAAAATTAGCTGGGCATGGTGGCACGTGCCTGTAGTCCCAGCTACTCGGGAGGCTGAGGGAGAAGAATTGCTTGAACCCGGGAGGCCGAGGTTGCAGTGAGCCGAGATCGCACCACTGCACTCCACCCTGGTGCCTGGCGACAGAGCGAGACTCTGTCTCAAAAAATAAAAATAAAATAAAAAACTAATAATTAATTTAAAATAATTGAGTAGCTCTTTCTTTTCCTCTTTCCTTTTCAAAAATAGGATCCAAAAGCCATTAGGTAGGTCAAAGCAAGATCTGTGGGGATTTAGGGAGGCCAAGGGTGGTCACAGCTGAATATAAGAACCCAAACAAGCTAAAAAGGACATCCATGTGGGAAGGCACCTAGATCTTGATTTCTAAATATCATTATCCATTAAAAGAAACCAGAGCTTTCTAGAGAATGGTTTATTTCAGTTTGGGGCTAGGCAAGTATAAGATCTGCTAGAAATTAAGGAATACTCAAATAATAATAGAGACACATCAAAGAGATGCAGTCCAGAGTGAAAGGACTCCAACTAGTTAAAACTTGGATGATTTGAGCATCTAAATAAATACTGATGTAACAGATTATAATCCACTGAATAAAGTAAGAATTCATGGGTCCAATGATGATAAGAAATGAATGCATTGAAATTTTGATGAGATATGGAATATTTACATAGTTTCAAAGTACCTTTCTATAAAACACTTATTAATTACAAAGGAGAAAAGAGTAACTTTATAGTGGAGAAGCATTATAGACACCATCTTAATAACTAAAGTTAACATCAGTACTGGAACAAAATGAAATCTTGTGCCAATTGATGCAATGCACTGAGAACACAGCACTACTTCTGTGATATTCCTACCAAAGGTACATATCCTGAATTTATTCAAGAAGAAGCATTAAACAAACACAAGTTAAGGGACATTCAACAAGATAGACCAAGTGTCAAGGTCATGAAAATCAAGGAAAGACTGAGGAAAAATTCCAGATTGAAGGAAACTAAAGAGACATGACAACTAAATGCAATCTGTGACCCTGGCCTACAACTTTTTACTATAAATTACATTATCGGGACAAATGGCAAAACTTGAATGAGATCTAAGGATTAGATGATAATGAATCAATGAAATTTCCTGAGTTTGATTGTTAGATTTGGTTACATTAGAGAATGTCCTTGTTTGAAGGAAGTATAGAAGTATTAGGGGCTGATGAAACATCATGTCAACTCCTTACTGTCAAATGATTCAAGACAGAAATTATTTGTAACCTTGCAACTTTTTCCTGAGTTTAGGGCTATTTCAAAACATACTTTTTTAAGGTTAGAGTGCAATGGCACCATCTTGGCTCACTGCAACTTCCGCCTCCTGGGTTCAAGCAACTCTCATGTCTCAGCCTCCCGGAGTAGGTAGGATTACAGTTGTGTGCCACCATGCCCGGCTAATTTTTCTATTTGTATTTGTATTATTTATTTAGAGAGAAGGTCTTGCTCTGTCACTCAGTGGAGTACAGTGGCGAGATCTCAGTTCACTGCAACCTCCCTCTGCCTCCCAAGTTCAAGCAATTCTCCTGACTCAGCCTCCCGAGTAGCTGGGATTATAGGTGCGCACCACCATGCCTGGCTAATTTTTGTAGAGACAGGGTTTCACCATGCTGGCCAGGCTGGTCTTGAACTCCTGACCTTAGTGATCCACCTGCCTCAGCCTCCCAAAGTGCTGGGATTACAGGCATGATCCACGGCACCCAGCCAAAAAAAATCTGTTTAATAAGAAAAAAAGTCAACTCAGCTATCAACTACCTAGGATAGCCTCATGGCAAGCAACTGGGAATAACAGGTCCACTTCTGCCTGAATGTAGTGTAGGCATACTGCCCAAACTGTGTACAGCAGGAAGAATAAAGCATAATGGTAAGAGTGTGGTTCTTTTTTATGAGACAGAGTCTCACTCTGTCGCCCAGGCTGGAGCGCAGTGGCACAATTTCAGCTCACTGCAACCTCCACCCTCCAAGGGTCAGGTGATTCTCCTGCTTCAGCCTCCCTAGTAGCTGGGATTACAGGCATGTACCACCACACTCAGCTAATTTTTGTATTTTTAGTAGAGACAGGATTCTCCATGTTGGCCAGGCTGGTGTTAAACTCCTGACCTCAAGTGGTCCGCCCAGCTACTTTTTGTATTTTTAATAGAGATGGGGTTTCACCATGTTGGCCAGGCTGGTCTCGAACTCCTGACCTCAAATGGTCCACCCAGACGGGCCAGGTGTGGTGGCTCACACCAGTAATCCCAACACTTTGGGAGGCATCAGCCCTGGCACCCAACCAAAAAAATCTGTTTAATGAGAAAAAAAGTCTGAGGCGGGTGGATCACCTGAGGTCAAGAGTTCAAGACCAGCCTGGGCAACATGGTGAAACCGTGTTTCTACTAAAAATACAAAAATTAGCTGTGCATGGTAGCAGGTGCCTGTAATCCCAGCTACTCAGAGGCTGAGGCAGGAAAATCACTTGAATTCGTGTGGTGGAGGTTGCAGTGAGACTTGGTCTCAAAAAAAAAAACAAAAAAAACAGAAATTCTTATTGAGGACTTATTGTACGTAAGGCACTGTTATAGGTTGTGTGAATATGTCAGTGAACAAAACAGGTTAGATGTTTGCTCTTGTGGTGTTATATGCAGGTGGGGAGAGCTTGCTGTACCAATAATTGCTTCCATGATAATTAATACAGGGGCATAATGATTAAATGAGATAACAATAGCACATGGTAAGTGATAAGTTAATATTAGCTGTCATTGTTGACATAAGTCAGCGACCTCTCCTAGACTTTAAATCTAATACAGAGTCCAAGTGGTACTGCCAGTAATCAGCATTTTGATGAAAAGCCAGTGGGCTGCTGTAGGGCTTATCCCTCATTGCATCAGACTTGTAAACTGCCTATCATTCCTGTATATACTTCACTGCTGGACCCTGAGAGGAAAAGATGCCCACCCCAACAAAATAACTATCAAAATATGCATAGGCTGGGTGTGGTAGCTCACACCTGTAATCCTAGCACTTTGAAGGACGGGGGCGGGTGGATCACCTGAGCTCAGGAGTTCAAGACCAGTCCAGGCAACATGGCAAAACCCCATCTCTACTAAAAATAAATTTTAAAAAAATTAGACGGGCATGGTGGCACTTGCCTGAAGTCCCAGCTACTCAGGAGGCTGAGGTAGAAGGCTTGCTTGAGCCCAGAAGGTGGAGGCTGCAATGAGTTGAGATCACACCACTGCACTCCAGCCTGGGTGACAGAGTAAGACCCTGTGTCAAAAAAAAAAAAAAAGGTATTATACTTTGCCAAGAATAGAGTACTATAAATGTGCTCTACACACACTAAGCACAGCTCTGATGAAGACCAAGTAGAAGGTTCGTCAGCCTATGCCAAAAGTTTTCCATCTCTGTACAACTTAGGTTTTGGTAAGTGGAGAATTCTTGCTATACCTCCTTGGAATATATGCCCCTAAATACTTGCACAGAACATTCCTAGTCACCACAGTGTGGGAGTTGTAAGAAAAGGAAGTTTAAAATAGAAAAAAAAGCAGCAACAATAGCACGAAGTAGAAACTTCACCTGTCCCTGAATGGTTTCTGCAAGGACACTTTTGGCAGAAGCTTCTAATTCTCCGTTGAACTGGTCACCCAACATCCGAAGGCGACCAGCGATGATTTCTACATCAAAAGAGCACGACTCTCCTATGACAGAGGGAACACATTTGTTACAATCCATGAAGCAAAGGCAAGTCCCAGGAATCTGGGCAATGAGAAAAAGTTATCTTGTCTTTTGAATATTTTTCACATAATTATCTCCCAAGAACTTAAATGTTCTGTCAACACCAATAGTCAGAAAGTTTCCCTTCATTGAGAATCTCTTTCACTTCAGGTGTTGCTGAAAGCTTAGAGTTAGAAACTTAAAGGAAATAAAACATACTTTTTTTTTTTTTTTTGAGACGGAGTTTCATTCATGTTACCCAGGCTGGAGTGCAATGGCACGATCTCGGCTCACCGCAACCTCCACCTCCTGGGTTCAGGCAATTCTCCTGCCTCAGCCTCCTGAGTAGCTGGGATTACAGGCACGCGCCACCATGCCCAGCTAATGTTTTGTATTTTTAGTAGAGACGGGGTTTCACCATGTTGACCAGGATGGTCTCAATCTCTTGACCTCTTGATCCACCCGCCTCGGCCTCCCAAAGTGCTGGGATTACAGGCTTGAGCCACCGCGCCCGGCAACATACTTTTTTTTTTTGAGACCAAGTCTCACTCTGTTGCCCAGGCTGGAGTGCAGTGCAGTGATCTCAGCTCACTGCAACCTCTGCCTCCCAAGTTCAAGCAATTCTTGTGCCTCAGTCTCCCATGTAGCTGGGACAACAGGTGTGAGCCACCACACCCAGCTAATTTTTGTATTTTTAGTAGAGATGGGGTTTCATCATGTTGACCAGGCTGGTCTTGAACTCCTGACCTAAGGCGATCCACCCACCTTGGCCTCCCAAAGTGCTGGGATTATAGGAGTCAGCCACCACACCCAACAAAAAACATACTCTTATTGACCTGCAATCACCACCTCTAGCCAGGAGCCTTACCTGAATCTACTTCATCTTCACAGCCTAGGTCCCGGTTGGCAACCTGCAATGTTGGGCTCAAGAAGTCCATGAGTAGAGTGTTCACAATGCATTCTGTTTGTTCCTCAAAAGTTTGGGGGCTCTTCATTTTAAATGTTTGCTGCCAAGTTTTGCTTTTCCACAAAAGCTGTTTTCAGCCCAGCACGAAGTTAAAAACGCTGGTAAATCAACAAATGTTTCTACCTCTTGTAGTTTCCTGATGGGACATATAGTCCTGGAACTTTTCCCACTAGCTTTCTTCAAACACAACTCCACAGAAAGATGAGACTTCTCTGAAAGGATTATCTACTTAAAAGACTTCAAGTTCTTTATCTCAGACCACACCCTAACCACCTAAGATTAATGAATAACTTTTATCATTAGCCAATCTAGAACTGAAATAGGGTTCAGGAAGAGCCTCTGGGGTAATTTCATTAAGAAATGCTTCCTTCTTAGGTCCTATATATTGTATAATTTAAAGGAAGATTTTACAGTGACAGTGGACCAGCATTCAACTTCTGTTTATGGAATTTATTTGCCATAACCATACAATAATTATTTACCAAACAAGGAACTATACATGGCACTGCAAGTAATATAGAAAAATGACACAGGCACACTTATGTGCTCATGAAGCTTACACCTCAGCAGAAATGACAGCTATTAAATGACTAATCACGTAGTTAATTGTGCTATTGAGGTCAGTGCACTTTGATCAGTGCAGTGTAATAGGGAATCAAGACTTTGATAGTGTAATAGGGAAATATGCCCAGGGGACTGGGAAGGCTTCTTTAAAACAGTAACATCTGAGAGGAGCTCTGAGGAATAAGTAGGCATCCATTATACAAAAAGGAGGCATAACACTATTCTAGTTGGACGGGTAGCAGATATAAAGTCTGGGAAGGTTAAAAAACTCAAACAACTTGGATTATAAATAGGGACAATACAAAATATTTCAGAGAAATTATGAGGATTAAATAAGATAACATTATATGGAATGGCCTAGCACAGTCTAGCATACAATAAATGTTAAATGTCCTCCTTTTAGCCAAGGCCTAATGACCAGGATGAAAGAGACCGGAGATTCTCTAGCAAAAGGATTTTCCTAACAGGCTTGGATTCCATCATTGTTTTAAGAGATCTCAGGATTGGACACTTATCTGTAGTGGTTGCCTTCTTAATGTAGCTAAACCTAGATTTTGAGTCTGGGTCTCAGAAGCAGCAATCAAACCTATCAGCAAACTTATCACTCAAACCTGTCTGACCTGGTGAAGTTATTAACAGCTCCAACTAATAAAAGATTCAAGCATAGGCCGGGTGCGGTGGCTCACACCTGTAATCCCACCACTTTGGGAGGCTGAAGTGGGTTGATTACCTGAGGTCAGGAGTTCACGACCAGCCTGGCCAACATGGCGAAACCCATCTCTACTAAAAAATACAAAAATTAGCTGGGCGTGGTGGTGTGCACCTGTAATCCCAGCTACTCAGGAGGCTGAGGCATGAAAATCGTTTGAATCTGGAGGCAGAGGCTGCGGTGAGCTGAGATCACACCATTGGCATTCCAACCTGGGTGACAGAGTGAGACTCCATCTCAAAAAAAAAAAAAAAAAAAAAAAGATTGAAGCATAAACAGTAAGTCAGTTATTCAGAATGGAATTTCTATCTTGCAAAATATCAAAGCCAATCTGATGTTTTCTGTTTCATTCTAAACGCATGCGAACACTATACACTTATTAAAATAGCCAAATTCAGAACACTGGCAAAACCAAATGCTGGTGAGGATGTGGGGCAGAAACTGTCATTCATCGCTGGTAGGAATGCAAAAGGGTACAGCCACTTTGGAAGAGTCTGGCAGTTTCTTACAAAACCAAATATCCTCTTACCATATGATTTAGCAATTGTACTCCTTGGTATCTACCCAAAGGAGTTGAAAACTTGTCTACACAAAATCTTGCACGTGGATGTTCATAGCAGCTTTATTCACAACTGCCCAAACCTGGAAGCAACCAAGATGTCCTTCAATAGGTAAATGAATAAATAAACTGTGATACATACAGAAAATAGACATTATTTAGTGCTGAAAAGAAATGAGCTATCAAGCCATGAAAAGATGAGGAGAAATTTGGGTGATAGTTGGACTTTGGGTAATAATTGATGAGGTAAGTTCATCAATTATGACAAATGTATCACTTTGATTGGGGATGTTGGTAACAGGACATGATGCTTGTGTGGGGGCAGAGGGTATTTGGGAAATCTCTGTACCTTTGTTTCAATTTTGCTTTGAACCTAAAACTGCTCTTAAAAAGTCTTAATTTTTAAAAATGATCATAAATTGCTTTTAGAGTAAGAACACAAATTATGTTGCTATGTAGTTAAAGTGCCATTTTCTTTTTTTTTTTTTTATTGAAGAAAGAAAAGGACGACAGAGACCTAAAGTGCCATTTTCATTTGTCATTATCTATTGCTCATTCTCTTTAGAGACAAAAGGGCTGAAGCTTCCATTATTACTAAGTAGGCTTCAGACCTCTAACATTACAGGGGCACTCAGAGAAAATTCTAGGCCAACCTCCTTTCACAATAGAGGTAGCCACTGACAGTTTAAGGATTCTAAAAAATACATTTGTGACATACTCCCAAAACAATATATAAAAGACAAAAATGTTTATGAGATCATCCAGTTGGTATTAAATAGCTTGCCCAAGTTCACACATCAGTTAGTGGCAGAATATAAATTTTAAACCAAGTCTGTCTTATATCAAACTCAAGCTTTCCCACAGTAATAAACCACCTTCCTCATTTCACTATCAATATGCTTATGCTATCTTTGAAGTTGAATCTTGAGTCCAGGGGTGCTGGCATGCACCTACAGTCCCAGCTACTCAGGAAGCTGAAGTAGGAGGATCACTTGAGCCCAGAACAAGGCTGCACTGAGCCATGATCACACCACTGCACCCTAGCCTGGATGACGAAGCGAGGCCCTGCGTCGAAAAAAAAAAAAGAAAAAATCCAGTTTTGACTCCTTTACATTGTCTTGTATAATCAATGTTGTAAAGCTATAGGAATAGAGTACAGACTCTCATTGGCAATGTGGAGTAAATTTTCCACCTTTGTTTACTTCTTCTGGGCCTTCAACATAGCACCCTCCCAAACCATCCCTTTCCCTCAGCCCACATACCTTCACCCTTGCAGTTCTAATATTGTGCTTTTAATTATTACTGAAAAATGATGAGGTCAGAATTTTTTCCCTATCAGCTCGTTTCTCTTGCCACTCTGGCTACAACAATTTACATCCTCCCCGAAAAGCTTTGTCTCATTATATCATTGGCTTAAAGTCCAGGATCTTGTCATCTGTACCAGATGTGCATGTGGATGAAGATCCTTGGGTGCAACTCCTCTCAACATGGAGACTTGTAACTAAGAAAACAAGCAATGTGTCCCCTCTCCCCGAAACACCCTATATCTAAGAAAGGAATATAATAATCTTAACAGAACGCTTGTTCAAAAATAGGGAGAATGGAAACATATCACAGTTACTGATTTATAACTATAAAATTATGGTAACTATGCAAATTATTGCCTCTGCAGTGTTCCAAAACATATTGTCTTTGTGGGACCTCATTATATGCATAACATACTGTTTACCTGTCAACTAAGAATGACATTAGAAGGCTGCTGTTCTAAGCACAGTATCGAATACCTTCATGGTTTGTAAAACACAAACATCTACTTATATCACATCATCAAATCCCATGTCTGCAGGAGCTACAGAGAGTTCCTGGGGGGAAAATATTAAAAGAATTAACTTCATAGTATACTTGAGCTTTGGTCATTTGGCTTATAATAAATTAGTAAAACCAGGCTACAGGAGAAATCAGTTCTTCATTGAGATCATCTTAAAAGTATATTTTCCAAAAGCAACAATTTCATATTCTATGTATGCCTCTTATAGAAAAGGAACCAAGTACAATATAGTCTTCTAAAACCTCCAATAGTTGGGATCACTTTAGTATTACTATTTATTCAGTTGCCAAGTCATACCAATTTACTCAATTTCCACCACCTGCATCCTGTTCCCCTGCTACACTTTGAATTGGCAGTGCTTCAATTTTATTTCTCTTAGTAACTAATTAAACATTCACCATTTAACTGAACCATAAAAATACAGAAAGTGCAATTCTGAAGCTGTCCTTCCCTTTCCTATCCCTGAGGATCCATAGTCTAAATCAACGGTTCTCAAGTAATGGCAATTTTGCCTCCTACCCCAGGAGACCTTTAACAATGTCTAGAGACATTTTTAGTTGTTACAACTGAGGGTTCTACTGGCATCCAGTGGATAGAGGCCAGAGATAGTGCTAATAATCATTCTACAGTACAGAGGACAGTCCCTCACAACAAAGAATTATCTGGCCTCAAATGTCAGTATTGCCACTTTAAAGAAATCCTGGTTTAGATGAAATTCCATTATTTTCCATATAGTTGATACAATATCATAAAACCCAGTTCAAACATCAATCCCAAAACACATCAGAATCTAATTATTTACAGTCATTCATTCAAGAAAGAGTTACTGAGTAATACTATGTGGCAGACACTATGGAAATAAAAAGAAAGAATCATTCTTAAAAGTTGTTCAGGCTGGGCGCAGTGGCTTATGCCTGTAATCCCAGCGAGAGACCAAGGCTGGCAGATCACCTGAGGTCAAGAGTTCGAGACCAGCCTGGCCAACATGGTGAAATGCTGTCTCTACTAAAAACACAAAAATTAGCTGGGCGTGGTGGTGGGTGCTTGTAATCCCAGTTACTTGGGAGGCTGAGGCAGGAGATTTGCTTGAACCCAGGAGATGGAAGTTGCGGTGAGTCGAGTCAGTGCCATTGCACTCCAGCCTGGGCAACAAGAGCAAAACTCCGTCTCAAAAAAAAAAAAAAAAAAAAAGTTATTCAATGGGGAAGACCATTCAATAAACAACTCACAACAGCCAGGTTCTTACCAGAAAATTCAGTATTGTCTGTTATTTATTCCTATTAAGAGCCTGGTTGAGGCTGGGTAACACCTGAGGTCAGGAGTTACCAGCCTGGCCATCATGGTGAAAACCTGTCTCTACTAAAAATACAAAAACTAGCCAGGCATGGTGGTGCATGCCTGTAGACCCAGCTTCTCGGAAGGCTGAGGCAGGAGGATGGCTTGAACCCAGAATGTGGAGGTTGTAATGAGCCGAGATCACACCACTGCACTGCACTGCAGTCTGGGTGACACAGCAAGACTCCATCACAGAACAAAAGTCTCATTGAGAGAAGTGATGGTTGAAAAATCACCTGAAGGATATGGGTTCATCTATGTATCTAGGTAGTAGAAATCCTTGAATTAAGCTGGATGATGAAGGGTATATACTTGGATCATGTTATCTTAAGTCCTTGAAGAAATGCCTTCATTAAGCACCATGTTATTATTATTATTACTGAGACAGGGTCTTGCTCTGTCAAGCAGGCTGGAGTGCAGTGGCATGATCATAGCTTACTGTAGCCTTGACCTCCTAGGCTCACGCAACGCTCCCACCTCAGCCTCCCAAGTAGCTGGGACTACAGGCACACACCACCACACCTGACTAATTTTTTACTTTTGTAGAGATGGGGGTCTCACTACATTGCCCAGGCTGGTCTCAAACTCCTAGCCTCAAGGGATCCACCTGCCTTGGTCTCCCAAAGTGCTGGGATTAAAGGCATGAGTCACCATGTCTGGCTTACTATTTTTGTATGTATACTTTTTTTGTTTTTTCATTTGACAGGGTTTCATTCTGTCACCCAGGCTGGAGTGCAGTGGTATGATCACCACTCTCTGTAACCTCAAACTCTTGGGCTCAAGTAATGCTCCTGCCTCTGCCTTTTGAACAGCTGGGATTTCAGGCATGTGCCACCATGCCTGGATAACTCAATTTTTAGAGACAGGTCTCACTATGCTGTCCAGGCTGATCTTGAACTCCTAGCATCAAGCAATCTTCCCTCCTTGGCCTCCCAAAGAGCTGGGTTACCAAAAAGAGTGACTGCACGCAGTCTAAGCTCTATATTAAAGTCATGCTCTCTGCTTTCATTGAAGAATACGGTAAGAAAGTCATGTGAAACCCATTCCTAACTTCTCGTAGGATCTTGTACATATCTTAGTGTTTCTTCCTCTCTGATAAAAATTATAACTGTTTCCCTTAACTCTGACTGCTAAATCACCTATAGAGACAAATCAAGGCTCAACTATCATCTAATAGGCCCATATAACCTGAACATTTGTGTATTTCCCCATCTCCAACCCAGGTGGTCTTAACTGGTATTTTAATTTTTTCCATTCTGGATTTGCTAGTCTCATATTTTACCAGCATTTTATTCGATTTGTTCTTGCCATAAGTTGCTTCAATGTACAAAATATGGTCAGATAAGAACAGAATAAAAATTGAGGACAAGCAACAAGAAACAATGACAATACTATTGCTAGAGGTATGGTCTGGGTACTACAACAGCCTGAAGGAAACCCCTAATGAAGGCAGTGAGGGTTACAGGAAACTTCCCGAAAGAGTTCATGAGTGAGCCGAACACTGAAAGACAGACTAGGTGTTAAAGAAGATGTGAGGGTGAGAAAATGTTCTAGTCAATAAATAAAAGCAGGTTTAAGTTAAAGCACAGAGGTGAAAGAAGCTGCTGTATTCAGGGAACTGCAATGCACGTGGTTTGCTTCTACCAGGAGAGAAGGCATTTTGGGAGTGGTAAGACTTGACACCAAAGAGGTACATTAGCTGACATTAAGGACTTTGGACTCTGGCCTAAAAAGCACAATTGGAAATATGAGAACAGTTAGGAATTTACTATAATAATCCAGGGAGGAAAAGATGACCCCCATAAATGATGAACCTGTCACTTTCCACACATCAACCGTCTTTAATTACTAACACATTTCCTAAAATTGATTAGGAAATAATCCAAACCTCACCCCATCCCCTTGCCAACATTTACCTTTACAACATCATCATTGATAAATGGGGTCAATTGCCAATAGGAATGAAATTAATAAATCAATCTTCTTTGGCCAAAAATGTAAGAATCCTGATTCCTAGATTTTCCACTCTCTTTTGTAGCTAATATTATCTGGACTTACTGGCAGCTCTAAGAAGAAAGACTAAGAAACTGTGATCGTTATTCATCTTACTCTGGACAAGAAACAAACTTATGATTTTATTTCTTCAATGGTTCCAATCACAGTTTCTAATACAGAAATAAAACTCTTAAGTGTCTCGGTTCTTGTTTCATTTTGTTTCACAGAGATCTGCATTTCTGAGTTTTCAGGCTTCCACAGCAGTTCTGTTAAGAACAGACAGCCAGTATCATCCTGAGCACTGAGGTATGCTTTCCACGGCCGAGCCCCAGCCCTACTCATTGCAATGGTCTGGATGTTCACTACTTGAAGAGCCATCTGGAGGGTGTCAGGATGGAATTCTCCCTGCCAAGGCAACACTTGCTGATGAGCAACTTTGAGGCTAAGCCAAGTTTTCTCAAAATAATCAGCAGTAAGCTGGAGATTGGGGACTAGCATGAGGGTTCCAGAATCAGGGACTTCTTGTACCCTCTCCTTGTTCTCTTCAGGAATCAAGGGTCCTAAAAGAGACAGAAAACTTGTGTGAAAGATGTTCTTAATCTGCAGGAGCTAGGTTTTTAATCCAAATTCCCAAATGTACACAATATGACTTCTGTCTTTGGATAAATGGCTGAAATAACCAATGATGAACCTTTCTTGCTCACAAATGCTTGAAATTCAGGCAACAGTCTGAGATTTAGTGCTAGGATACTCTACTTTCCACCAATCACTGAAAAGGTAAAGATTCATCATGACAACATTTAAGGTAAGGACTTTTTTACCTGATGCAGCAAAGGATGAAGTTTTAGGAAGCTCTGGGCCACAACGCTCTGCTCCATGACATTTAGAGATAGTTGCCCAGCGGGATTTGCCATACACTGGCACCAGTGTGTTGAAGTCTGAGGCCCAGCTGTTCACAGGTCTTTCTGCCGGATCCTCCAGAAGTCCAAGAGTAGGGTCAGATTTAGGACTACACAGAATCCGCTTAACTTCATCAATGCCAACTAAGAGGAGGCGATAATAGAAGAGACCTCGGTCCCGTACAGCCATATCTTTTTCTTCCTCTGAGGTAAGACAACAGATTGAATTTATTAAAAACAAAGCACTTTCCTCCTACCTTTGTGCCAACCATAATAGGATAAGAAAATGAAAGGGAGAGGAATCCCTAGGAAGCATTAACATTTTCTTCTTGGGTCCCAGACATGACTCATCAAACAATGAAAACTATTAAGAATTTTTACTATGGGTCAGGCAAGTACTATTTCCTTCTGAAAAACCCACCTATGCAGTAATACAACAAACGTCCCAGCATGTCCTGGCACTCAGCAGGTCGTGAGAGGAAAAGGCGCAGCAAAGCAGTGAGTAGCTCCATCTTAACAGCTGGAAATGTCTCTGACTTCACATTCTCAACAAAGTCCTCTAACACATAAGGAGCATTAGGAATTCTTTCCCCGTGGACCCCCAGTAGCCAAATAAGTGCTTGCTTCCCCTAGGGAATAAAGGAATAAGAGCGAGTGCGTAACACTTGGCTGTCCAAAACACAGGAAATAGTAGACAATCACTGGTTTTGCTTTTCGCTTAGTGCCAGCAGAAAAGGCGTAATCTTTACTTTATTTAATTTACTGATTCCCCCTATTGTACTCTCTACAACAAATAGAAATGAAATTCTAACATACAAGAGGAAACTCAAAGTTGAGGTTTCCTCAACTTTGGGGCCTCTGGCCCAATTGGGGTTTAGTGTTTCAGTGGAAGCTGCTCAAAGAATTTCTCTACATTTTTCAGGAAAGTGGCTACTAACCTAGAGTGCACATCAGAGTCATCTGTGAAGCTTCTTAAAAATATATCTGTCAGCTGGGTGCAGTGGCTTAAGCCTGTAATCTCAGCACTTTGGGAGGCCAAGGCGGGTGGATTACCCAAGGTCAGGAGTTTGAGACTAGCCTGGCCAACATGGTGAAACCCCACCTCTATTAAAAGCACAAAAATTAGCCAGGCATGGTGGTGCACGCCTGCAGTTCCACCTACTCGGGAGGCTGAGACAACAGAATTGCTTGAAACGGGGAGGCAGAGATTGCGGTGAGCCGAGACGGTGTCACTGCACCCCATCCAGCCTGGACGACAGAGCTAGACTCCATCTCAAAAAAAAAAAAAAAGTTATCTGTCTAGGTCCACTACCCCTGAATATTTAGGTCAGTAGACCGGTGATTAAGTCCAAATCTTTGTAAAAATTTCACAAATGATTCTAATTCTCATTCTAGCTAAAAACTTCATTGTCTAAATCTCTGACTCAAAACTGTTCAAGAGGGGCTGGGGGCAGTAGCTCATGCCTGTAATCCCAGCTCTTTGTGAGGCTGAGGTGGATGGATCACTTGAGGCTAGGAATTCTAGACCAGCCTAGGCAACATGGCAAAACCCTCTCTACTACAAATACAAAAATTAGCTGGGCAAGGTGGTGCACACCTGTAATCCCAGCTACTCGGGAGGCTGAGGCGGAAGAATCACTTGAGTCTACGAGGTAGAGGTTGCAGTGAGCCGAGATAGTGCTACTGCGTTCCAGCCTGGGTGACTCTATCTCAAGCAAAACAAAACAAAACTGTTCAAAAGTTGTATCAGAGTTTTATAATAAAAACCATAGATAAATCTTATTTTTATAATTTATATGCCATCTACATCCAAAAGAGAATCTAAGGTGGCAATCAATTCTAAGAGTGTCTACTTCAAACACAGAGAGGAGAGAATAATTAGATTCTATTTCAAAGGGCAGGGTTTCAAGCATTCTCCCTCTACTTAGAAGTAAAGGAGAATTACAGTCTACCTCACTATCTTGAATGTTCTCCTCACAGCCGGGCAGGGCCTGACACACAGCTTCAGTACACTGAGGACACAACCAAACCAGGTCTCGGAAAGTCTGCACCACCACTACAATACAGGCCAAGATACAAGAGCACAGGATTAGAGCCTCCAGGCAGGGAGGAATCTTAAGAACTGTTGTGTATTCAGACTTATGGCTCTGGCTGGATTTCTGTAAAATGGGTTTTAGAGGTATGGTCAGTGATTAAGAAATGTAATAAAATGAGCAATAATTTCTTAAATGAATATTGTCCTTATCAGATTGATGTAAAGATAAATGAGCTAATGTATGACAAAGCACTTTGTAAAACGTAAAGCTGTATACAGTTGTGGGGTAGTATTGCTATTGAACGATACACTAAAGACAGTATAAATGGAACCACCAGGACTGGGACAATGACAAGGCAAATAAGGTGTGTAGGGTATAAAACAGAGGAAGAATGCAGGATTGGCACTTACTAAGAGTAAGTGCCTTCTTAAATTTTGCATCCTAGGCACCTTGCTTGACTTTCCCTAGTTCCAACCCTGGAAGCCACTGCCTATGGCATACTGCCATAAAATGAAAAGAGAAGAAAGATGGTGAAATATCAAGCAAGGTCATCCTAGTAGCCTTCATTATCTATGGTATAGCCTTATAGGCTCATGGTGGCCTGAAAACTCAATATCCTATTAGATCTATAGACCCTATGCTTCTCTAACAGCAACAGGTGATGATGCAAGGAAAAGTTTAAAACTCTATATTATTCATTCAACAACAAACGTGTTTTCAGCAACTACTATAGGCCAGGTACTTGATAAAAAAAAAAAAAAAAATTCTAGAAAGGTAGGCATTACCTGTGGTAATGTGCTCTTGTCGAAGACCCAGCAACTCTGTGAGAATCTGAACACACTGATCTGTGTAAGTCCTGGCAATGCTACCTACAAAAGAAGGTAAAGCAGAGAAAACTGCTAAGTCAAATATTAGCTGACTTTGAGTCAGGAAAGCCGGATTTCAGTCCCATTTCTAAAACTACGTGCCCTTTTGGCAATTTGATAACTGTTTTTGTGCCTGAGTTTCTTCATCTTTAAAATGAAGTTAACGGCATTTGTCTACTTTTCCTGACAGTCTCGTGAGACTGTGGTAAGATGAAATACAGGAAAGCATTTTGGCTAGAAGACAACAAAAATTTTAGGTGTTGTAGTTTCAGTTACCTGTATTTACCATCCTGAAAGATATGGCAACAGCAGTCTTGACCAAAAAAAAAAAAAAAAAAAAAAAAAAAAAAAAAAAAAAAAAAAAAAAAAAAAAAAAAAAAAAAAAATCTCTCTTCTCCGTTTGCAGTTACTGATCCAATTACTTAGTGCATAGTACTTTGCTTCTGAAGCAAGATTTATGCCCTTTGCCCTCTTTGGTTCCTCCAACCACAGCTTTCTAGCTGACTGGTCCAGGTTTTCTAGAAGGAAAAGGAGCAGACACCTACCTATGGCAAAGATGGCAGCCTGTGCAAAGTCAGCAGACACATCCGTGCAATACCCTCGGAGCTCCTCTAGCACCTGCTGTACATTCTCATCATTCACCAGCTCACACAGCACCTCCACTTTTTGTAGTTTGATGTAGTGGGGCTCCGAGTAGGAGCAAAAAAACTTTTTGTAGTGGCTGCTAAAGTGACCTGGCAAACTATGCAAGATCTGGCGTACATGACAGAGAGCAACAAAACAGAGCTCACGGCTCTCTGAAGAACAGGCAGCTAGCAAAGGTCCCTTGACCCGCACAAGCACATCGGTTTGAACGTGGGGGAACTTTTTTGCCAAGATCAGAAAAAGTTTGGTGGCTCCCATCACCACACCGGGGCTTCCACTCTTGAGAAAACTGTCCAACAGATTGAGAATGTCAAATAGTTCTTCCTCACTGCGGGGTTGGTAGCGTAGCAGAAAGTTCAACACTTCAGCCTGGCCCCATTGGTCCAATTTTGACATTCTATCCAAAAAATGAAACAAGAGCTATTTTAGCAAGAAAATTAGGACCATCTCCATGCCACTGCCATATGAACAGTTGGTTGTTCATCATAAAAAAGGGAGAATTCTTAAAAATAGGCTGTGAGGGCCGGGCGCAGTGGCTCATGCCTGTAATCCCAGCACTTCAGGAGGCCGAGGCGGGCGGATCACCTGAGGTCAGGAGTTCGAGACCAGCCTGACCAACATGGTGACACCTGGTCTCTACTAAAAATACAAAAATTAGCTGGGCGTAGTAGTGGGCGCCTATAGTCCCAGCTACTTGGGAGGCTGAGGTAGGAGAATCGCTTGAACCCAGGAGGCGGAGGTTGCAGTGAGCTGAGATCATGCCATTGTACTCCAGCCTGGGCTATACAGCAAGACTCTATCTCATAAAAAAACCAACCAAACAAAAAAAAAAAAATAGGCTGTACCATAATCAAATCATTCTTTTCATGTACTATGTAATGTTTTCACAGAATAGGCTTAAAATTCTAAGATAAGTACAAATGCACATTCATCTAAGACCAAAGACATGATCAGCATACACTACATATAATAGGTCCAGGTTCTCTACATTTTAAGATGCTACAAATGGCTCAGTTTGAGGGATATAATGACTAGAGAAGTGTAGAAATTCCCACAGGATATTTCTATTTCCCCGTACCAATAAGGGAAACTAAGGCAAATAAAAGTTCTCTCAGTGAAATGTGAGGGAGTTAATAATGGTTAACTTTCTTTTCTACCACACATAAGTTGTTCAACATTTCAACACATCAACAAGATCCCACAAGGACACAGATCTTATAATAAAAAGAGCACTGAGGCATCCAAACCGATTTAAGAGATGGTGGGCAATGGGCTTATTGATGACAATGCCTCCTTCCTGTTTCAGAATTTCCTCTAGAGACCTCAAGCAGTTCACAACCACAATTGGATCCTGGTCACGCAGCAAACTGTATAATTCATTAACAAGGGCACCATCTATAAAAAAGAACAAAGATCTCAGATAAAGAAGAAAAGCTTCAGAGTAACAGGGATAGAGCCAGAGTAATAGCTCCAGGCAGACAAAATTGAACTTCTCTGCTACCAAAATGACAAAAGCCATACTAAAGTGCAAGGCAAAAAAACTGCCATGTCCAGACTGTTCTAAGCAGCTAATGCAAAGGATCTCACTGGAGCCTGAGAGAAAGGACTTCTCATCTCCAGAAGATACCAAGCCCTGCATCATACTAAAGAGATATGTACAGAACTAGGGCCACATTATTATTTTCAACCAAAGCCACATAATCTTTAATAAAGTTATACATAAGAGAGGCACATTGACCATGATGGATCACACGGAACTTACCCACTTCAGAGTCTCCATGGAGATTATGCATCTTGGCACATCCAAGGACTGCCACTCTCCTGACATATGAAGCCTTATCACGCAGACCATTGAGAATCGGCTGTTGTATATACTCCTGCACACCAGGCATCCTAGGCAACACATTCTAGAGTTAGCCAGATCCTGAAATACTAATTTTGACATATATCAGCCCCTGTTCACTTAACAGAGGGTTTAGTAGATGCTGCCTCTATGAGATCATGAAGAATTGCAGACAGCCTCTATCGAGTTTAAAAAGCCATAATTTGACTTTTCAGTTTTTTTCTTGTTTTTCTTAGAGATGGGGGTCTCACTTTGTCAGCCAGGTTGCAGTATAGTGGCCTGATCATAGCTCACTGCTGTACCGAATTCCTGGGCTCAAGCCATCCTCCTGCCTAAGCCTTCCAAGTAGCTGAGACTACAGGTGTGTGTCACCATGCCCATTTAATTTTTAAATTTTTTGTAGATACAGGGTCTCACCATCTTGTCCAGGCTGGTCTCGAATTCCTGGGCTCAAGAAATCTTCCTGCCTGAGTCTCCCAAAGTGCTGAGACTACGGGCATAAGCCACTACGCCCAGCCTAATTTGACTTTTCTTTTTTTTTTTTTTCTAATTTGACTTTTCATTTTGAATAATGCTGCACAGGCAGCAAAAAAGATACACATATAATTGTTTAGAAATATTAACCAAAACTGAGGACATTGTACTGAGGGTAAGAATGAAAAACTCCCTCTAATAAAATTGTATGATACAGTTTATCAAGCCAAAGCAACTGCTGAAAATCTGAGTTCAGCATACAACAGTGTTTTCCCCAGTATTAAGGAGCTCAAATAAATTGTCCTCTTTAAAAATATGCCCTGCTGAGGCAGCCATTGAGGACCATACACGGAAGAGGGTACTCACCTGAGGCTACACATGCTCCGTAACGCCAGCCCTCGCACCATTGGATTGGGGTCTGAGCAATCTTTGCACAGTGTATTGATGGCCAGGAGAGCTAGATCTGGTTTTAGGGGAGCATATGTGCACATGTACAGATAAACCAACTTCTTCTGGACAATATCTACAGTGGCACTGGCCTTCACCATTTCCATAAAAACACCAGACATGTCCAAGCCCTGAGTCATGTACCTGAAACCAATACACGAGTTAGAAAGAAGTAAAATACAAAATCCCCAACTTACAATGGAGGGAGTTTTACCTATATATCTCCTGGTTACCCAACGAGATTGTGATCTCTTAGAGGGTAGCAGCCAGGATTACCTTGTCTATTATATCAGACAATACTTCATAGCATAGGCCTGCAATAAACATTATTCTTCTATTCACTCAACAAACACTTATTGAATCCCTAGTACACTTTGGTGAAATTCAACTTTTACATTCCTGGATGTAATATCCAGGGATATGCTCTGGGGACATAATCTTGAAGAAGGTGTGGTCTCAGACCTCTGAGAACTTCAAATCTATTAATGAGTCAGGTAAGAATGCCATTCATTAGAGTATGATAGATAAGTATTTTTTATTGTTTATTTTTGTTTATTTTTTTGAGGAGTCTTGCTCTGTTGCCCAGGCTGGAGTGTAGTGGCGCAACCTTGGCTCAGTGCAGCCTCTGCCTCCAGGGTTCAAGTGATTCTCCTGCCTCAGTCTCCCGAGTAGCTGGGACTACAGATGCCTGCCACCACGCCTGGCTAATTTTTGTTTTTGTAGTAGAGATGGGGTTTCATAACGTTGGCCAGGCTGGTCTTGGACTCCTGACCTCGTGATCCACCCACCTTGGCCTCCCAAAGTGTTGGGATTACAGGCGTGAGCCACAGCGCCCGGCCAGTAGATAAGTATTTAAACAAAAGTATTGTCCAAGGTACAGAGGAGATTCAGAGGTCTGACACTGGCATGAATTCAGAAAATGTTTCTTCACAAAGGAAGTAATACTTTAGCTGAATGAGCAGGAGCTCACAGGTAGATGTAATAAAAAGGTGATGATACATCCTATGAGGTATGTAGACATAAGTAGGACCGGCACACATTCTTTTGAGAGTCTGCAGGTAGTTGGATTGACAGCTTGTTCCTTGGGTGCAAGGATAAGTTTGGACTTTTTCTTTCTCAAACTGGTTTCCTACTGGAATCAGCTGAGATGTTTATGAAAAATACAGATTCCTGGGTTCCCTTCCACCCTACTGAAATCAGAATCAATCCCTGGACAGGATGAAATAAAGCACCCCAGGGGCTTTTGTGCATAGTAAAGTTTGTGAACCATAGCTGTAGGCAAGAGTTATGTGTTAAGATTCTGTCTCCAACGAGGCAAGGGGGCCTACTAGTAAGCTGGTGCAATTGCTTTGGTGATGAAGGCCTGGACCAGAACAACAATGCCAATAAACAAGAGAAGACAGATACTTAGAATTATGAATTAGAACTATCTGACTTCAGAAATCAGGGATCAGGTGACCCCAAGGTTGGCTCCCATGCTTAGTCGGCTGCTGGTGGCATTCATCAACGCAAACATAAGCCGAAGAACAGGCTTGAGGAAGACGGAAGGATGTCCGTGCTATTTCGGACATGCCTCTGATAAACCATTCAGATGAAAATGCCAAGCAGGCAGTGGGATACGTGGGTCTGAAGCTAAAAAAGGAAGTCTGTACTAGCTATATTATAGATCCAGGAGTCAGCAGTAATTATTGTTCAAGCCCTTGAAACGGAGGAAACTGAGTAAAAGAAGAAGCTGAGTAAAAGACGCTGCAGAGGGGAGACTAAGATGGTACTCCAAAGCAGCAGGACGAAGACCGAATCACGTAACTGCCAAGTGTGAAAGCTAATTTACCCTTTGAGAGAGACCGGGGCTAGGGAGCCCTGATGGGGATGGCAAGGGGGGCAGTTAGCACGCGAAGGGAGTTGGGTGATACCTAATCACTCGCTGGATGACATTCCGGTAGCGCAGCCTATCAGCCTGAATGTGAGGATTACACAGAGCCTTCTTCAGCTCCTTCACCACGTCCTCGGAGCCGAGGTACGGCATCTTCCTAATAGTCACAAGGCAGCTCCCAGAGCTCCCACGGTAACTCGCGGGCTCCTCCTCGTCCTGATGTGGGAGCCTGAGTAAAGGATATATGGGTCAGTGGAAAGACAAAGGCGAGATTTCGCCCCGGGCTTGGCTTCCGTAGGGCCGCACGCTGGCTCTGACACACTGCCACGCCCTCCGCGACCCCGCGAGCCCCGCCCTGAGCTCTTTAGGCCCTACCCTCGCCGGGCAGGCCGTTCGCCCCGCCCACAGATCGCCCCAGTTTACCAGTAGGCCCTCCGCGGGATTTCCAGCGCCGCGGCCGACTGACCGCAGGCCCCGCCCTCTCTAGTTCCAGCCTTTCCTGCGCCTCCGCGCCGTTCTCATCGCTGATAGGCCCAATCTTGTTTTCTACGGAAGTTCCGCCCCCTTGTCAAGAGACTAGAGCAGCCCTGCCGGTCTCCCAGAGAGCGAGCGCTAAGCCTAGTCTGGACTGCGACCTTAGGATGCCCTTCCCCCAACCTCTCACCCTCCCGGCGCAGCCGCTCGGCTACGTCTGGTGGAGCTGCGGCGGGCAATCGGAAATCGGCTACTTCGGCCTGTCTCCTCCCAGCAGCGCGCGCTTTGAGTGCCCTACCCGGCCTCCACTCCCGCGCGCGGGTGGGAGTGCCGAGCGCCCTCCGCTATTTGGGCTCCCGCGGGCACGGTCACTTCCTTTTTCTAACCACTCAAGTAACTTTTTCCTCTACTGGGCTCTTTCCCTTAGGGTCTCTGGCCCTGTTCTTGTCCCAGCATGACTTTTATCGGGGCGCCGTTGTGGAAGCCTCACGCAGGAGCCCTGCCCCCATGGAGAACATCCCACTGGTGACTCCAACCCTGCCACCATGAATGGGGTCTTGATCCCCCATACGCCCATCGCAGTGGACTTCTGGAGCCTGCGCCGGGCTGGCACCGCACGGCTCTTCTTCTTGTCTCACATGCACTCGGACCACACCGTGGGCCTGTCTAGCACCTGGGCCCGGCCCCTCTACTGCTCCCCAATTACAGCCCACCTCTTGCATCGTCACCTACAGGTATGGGGCTGGAGTCGGCCTCCGAGAGCTGATCCAGGCATCTGGGTTGGGACTTTGACCTGTCAGTCTTGGAGTTGTAGAATGGGGTCCACGACGACTCTTTACAAATGCGGAAATTGTTTGAACCCAGAAATGCATTTTTTTTTCATAGACTGCTCAGCAGGACCAGAAATGCATCTTTAACCCAGAATAGGAAGGTGATTTCCAAGTGACCGACTTGAGATATTTTAGTCCAGCCAAGGAAGCTATTCCTATCTTTATCTATAAGCTAGGCCAATGTTTCCTAAACTTGCCTCATCTTTTTTTTTTTTTTTTTTTTTTTTTTGAGATTGAGTTTTGCTCTTGTCACCCAGGCTGGAGTGCAGTGGCGCGATCTCGGCTCACCACAACCTCTGCCTCCCGGGTTCAAGCGCTTCTCCTATCTCAAACTCCTGAGAAGCTGGGATTACAGGGCACCGGCCACCACACCCGGCTAATTTTTTTGTATTTTCAGTAGAGATGGGGTTTCACTGTGTTGGCCAGGTTGGTCTCGAACTCCTGACCTCAAGTGATCCGCCCATCTGGGCCTCCCAAAGTGCTGGGATTACAGGCGTCAGCCACCGCCCCTGGCCTAAATTTGCCTCATCATAAGAATCCGCTTAGTGTGCTAGGTGGTTCTCTAGCTCTCTCCCCACCCCACCCTAAAGTCTCCAAGAGATTAAGATCAGGAATAAGTTTGAGAATTGCTGACTAGACTGTTTGCTGAACTCTTAATTAAGTTATACAAAGGGTGGGATGGGGAATGGAAGGAGGAAGGGCAGATTGCTTGGGAATCCCCATTACAGCTTCTGCTCCTGACTGGCTCAGGATTTGGTCAGCTTTCCTCCATTCATGTTAGGGATAGTCCCTGACCCAAGAAGGTAACAGGGAGGAGAGTCCATGGTCACTGAGATGACTGACTGTTTCCTCAGGTATCTAAGCAATGGATCCAAGCCCTGGAGGTTGGTGAGAGCCATGTATTGCCCCTAGATGAAATTGGACGAGAGACCATGACAGTAACCCTCATCGATGCCAATCACTGTCCTGGTTCAGTCATGTTTCTCTTTGAAGGATATTTTGGAACCATCCTCTATACAGGTGGGCCTCTCAAGGAATCCCAGCGACTTCTCCAGACTAGATGTTACTTTTCTTTTTCTTTCTTTTTTTTAAATGTATAGACTGCGGCCTTGAAATATTGCTTAGGTTGGTCTCAAACTCTTGACCTCAAGTGATCCTCCCGCTTCAGCCTCCCCAGTAGCTGGGATTATCAGCGTAAGTCAGCACCACCTGGCAGACTTTTCTTGAGCAGCCTTAATTAAATAGAAGTTTGGAGGCGCTGGAGTCCTTCCAGCTTCATCACATATGAGCATAGTGACCCCATCTCAACTGATTTCCTACTCTTTTTTTTTTTTTTTTTTTTGAGACAGAGTTTTGCTCTTGTCACCCAGGCTGGAGTGCAGTAGTGTCATCAAGGCTAACTACAACCTCGGCTTCCCGAGTTGAAGCAATTCTCCTGCCTCAGCCTCCCAGGTAGCTAAGATTATAGGCACCCACCACAACACCCAGATAATTTTTTGTATTTTTAGTAGAGATGGGGTTTCACCATGTTGGCCAGGCTGGTCTCAAACTTCTGACCTCAGGTGATCCACCTGCTTTGGCCTCCCAAAGTGCTGGGATTACAGGTATGAACCACTGTGCCCAGCTGATTTCCCACTCTTTAAGAGTCCAAACCTTGTGAAGAGTAATTGAAAAATAGAAGTAGGATGGAGACATTTCCACAGAGAAAACCATGCAGCTATACGGCATAGTTCGGTGCCAGGGTACCAGGGTACATAATAGTTTTTTCAAAGACTTGTAAGCAAACACCCATCTATTGTTGGAGGCAGGAAAGGCTTGTCTTCTTTTGTCTCTGACCTTCTGCCCTCGTATACATACTCTTCCAGGTGATTTTCGATATACACCATCCATGCTAAAGGAGCCAGCTCTGACACTGGGGAAACAGATCCATACTTTATACCTAGACAACACCAATTGCAACCCAGCCCTGGTTCTTCCTTCCCGACAAGAAGCTGCCCACCAGATTGTCCAGCTCATTCGAAAGCACCCACAACATAACATAAAGATTGGTGAGTTGTTTCCTTTCAGTTTTCTGTCACCTGTAGGTAGTGAACTGGGTTCTTTGAGGGTTCTCGCATCTTTCAGATCTTTGTGCAGTTCTCACTTTGTCCTACACTGACCACCTTATTTAAAATTGCAACCTGGCTGGGTGTGGTGGCTCACACCTGTAATCCCAGCACTTTGGGAGGCCGAGGTGGTTGGATCATGAGGTGAAGAGATCAAGACCCTCCTGGCCAACATAGTGAAACCCTGTCTCTACTAAAAATACAAAAATTAGCTGGGCATGGTGGTATGGTGGCTACTTGGGAGGCTGAGGCAGGTGAATTGCTTGAATCCAGGAGACAGAGGTTGCAGTGAGCTTAGATTGCACCACTGCACTCCAACCTGGTGACAGAGCTAGACTCCATCTCAAAAATAAATAAATTAATAAAATAAAATAAAATAAAATTGCAACCTGGCCAGGTGTGGTGACCTATGCTTATAATCCCAGCACTTTGGGAGGCTAAGGTAGGAGGGTCGCTTGACCCCAGGAATTTGAGACCAGCTTGGGCAACATGGCAAGACCCTGTCTCTACCAAAAATTTAAAAATTAGCTGGGAATGGTGTTGCATGCCTGTGGTCCCAGCTGCATAGGAGGCTGAGATAGGAGGATTACTTGGGTCCAGTAGGAGGTCAAGGTTGCAGTAAGCGATGTAAATGCCATTGCACTGCAGCCTGGATTGCAGAGCAAGACCCCATCTCAACAAATACATACATACATACATCTGCCTGGATGACACAGAAAGACCCTATCTCTAAATAAATAAATAAATAAATACTGCCTGGATGACAGAGCAAGACCCCGTCTCAATAAATGAATGAATGAATGAATGAATGAATAAAATAAGTAAAACTGCAACCTGCCCACCATCCCCATTCCCAACTCCTGATCACCTATACCAGTTCATTTTTTTCATTATTATAGCAGTCATAACCTCCCAGTATACTCTATGCTTTTTAAATATGCTATTGCTTATTTGTTGCCTTTCACTCACTTCCTGTGGCACATGCATGTGCACGTGTGCACACACGCAAGCATAAACTCCTTAAGAGCATCACTAGAAGTGGGAAGAGACTTTGGGTGTTTGTGGAACAGAGAAGCAGCAGCCAGTAGAACAGGCTTACAGTGGGCAAGGAGGCTAAAAAGGCAGGAGAGGCTGGAGTGCTGTTAAGCCATTTTGGACTTGATCCTAAACCCAACCAAGAGCTACTGAAGAATTTTAAGTAGAAGAGGGACAATATGCACTCATCACCTTGCAGTATATTCTATAATTTATGTATTTATTGTACTTTTTATTGTCTGACTCCCCCGGCTAGAATGTAAATTCCACTATAGTAGGCTCTTTGTTTTATGATATATCCCAAATACCTACATGAATGCCTCATACAAAAGCATTCAATATGAGTGAATGAAATTTATCAGAACAGGCTGGGTGCAGTGGCTCACACCTGTAATCCCAGCACTTTGGGAGGCGGAGGTGGGGGAATCACAAGGTCGGGAGATCGAGACCATCCAGGCTAACATGTGAAACCCTGTCTCTGCTAAAAATACAAAAAATTAGCCTGGCATGGTGGCACATGCCTGTGTCACAGCTACTCGGGAGGCTAAGGCAGGAGAATTGCTTGAACCAGGGAGGCAGAGGTTGCAGTGAGCCAAGATTGCACCACTGCACTGCAGCCTTAGTGACAGAGCAAGACTCCATCTCAAAAAAAGAAAAAAAAATTTATTGGAACATAGATATTTAAGTGAGTGTTGTACTTTAAATGAAGTATACTGAAAAAAACAGCTGTATGCTTGTTCTAGTGATTATAAATAGTATAAAACATTATTGAGGACTCTTTCTTG